GAAAAATTTTTGCATCAATACCTGTTGCGTAAGTGAATTATTTCTTTTTTCAGATTTTGCAAAAATCGCGTTTTTGAATTAGCGATTTTGGAATTCTCAGAAAATTTAAAAGTGTACCGGAAATGACAATGATACCGAATTAGGATTATTTGATTTTACAATTTGAATTTACAATTAATTTTTTAAGCAATCACCGTTGCTTCTTCTAGTAATAAACCCGATTTTCTTGGTCAGATCGATGAACAATTATCAAATGTATCAAAATATCGTATTGGATTAAAATTATGTGATCAAAACAGTCCATCATTATGTTTAAATGTTAGTGTTATCGTTATTGTAAGTGATATTAAACCAAATTTATTTATAGATCAACATCAAATGTGTCTTAAATATGAACGGCGCTCGTGGCTACCTGTGGGACCCATTGAATTAGCGTTATTTGCCTTATCATTTTTGTTTATTATCGGTACATTAGCGTTAAGTCTTATTATTTGTCGTTTGAAAGGAATTCGAATGTGTTTAGCAACAAAACTTATTTCTTATATGGAAAAAAAATATGGTTTAAGTGATGCACATTTGAATACAAAAAATAACTCAACAAAAATGATGGAATATTTTATACAATAATACTGATTTAGTTTAGCTACAGTATGTTTCTTTAATTTCAGGGACACTCACAATGCGTTATTGTCAGAGAAGAACATCCAAATGATAAACGATCTATTCGTGAAACAGCAGGTATGTATAATATGAAACTTAAAATTATTAAAATTTCATTTCATATGTGTGTTTAGACTAATATATACATTATATTCAAACGAGAGATATTGTTTGCTCCGCTTTGTTCCTTACCACACAAGACGATTCATAATTCACGTTCGTTATCGTAGTAACGTAGGGAAAACCGGAATTAAATCGATCAGGATAGTCAGTACAGAGATAACATTGAATTGCCGTAGAAGTGTGTATAACTAAAATATGAAAGAAAATACAATTGTTGTTATTTTTCAGTATCAACTGCAATGCATATGTAATCGTACATATTATGCAGATCTTTGATGCTAGGTTGTGTAATATGCTGTTTCAATCAGCTCTTCTATTTGTTTTATATTATCGGAATAAGTGAAAAAGAAATAAATTCATTCTCATTAGATTTGCGATCTTGTAGCATAATGCGTGAAGCTGGATAGCGTAGCCTGGATATACACTTACTATGCTTGCGGCTTGTCCAAAGGTAACGCTGTGACATTTTTTGACACAGTAATTTGAGGTTTTCTCGAAAACTATGAGCTATAAAGTTCGTTCTTGCGCCATTCAATGCGGCTCTTCCTACTCTACTATGAGTATAAAAATGAAGATTTTTGGTCTAAGACTCGAACTTGTAGAAAATCTTTTATTATCTTGCGAAAAAGTTTATAGAGGAGCTAACGAGCGTTCTTTTGCTGAAAGAACTTTTTTTCATAAACCTTTACCTTGTCTATAAAACCCAATTTATCAAAGTAACGCTGTGACATTTTCGGTAACGCTGTAATACACTTTTTTGTCGTACGATTTTTAAGCACTAAACGTTGTTCAAAAAACTTCATACTTATATACTGTGTGGTTCTAGATTTTCTGAAAAGATTCCAGTTGAAAATAAATTTCGATAAATCCTCTGAGGCTTTCAGACCAAGGCGAAAGTTGAAACGTTCAAGCGGCCACTGTGTCTCGACTGAAAAATAGATCTCGAAACAAAATGACCCATTTTGTAGAAAATTAAATTATCTATTCAACGTTATGTTCTTAAAGTTTTTTGAACAAAATGTCTAAGTCAGAAAATTGAAATTAAAATTTTTATTTTGAAAATTAATTTTTTCTTCCAAAAAAAGTCAGATTCATGATCAGCATGAAAAGCTGCGTATAGTGATGTGCCTCTATCGGTTTTCCGATCAAAAAAATTCAAAAGATACTTGATCAGCGAAGTGTCGTGTTACGTAGACAAGTCTCGTGGAATTCATATGTATCCGGTTCTATTTGCGCACGAACATGCATCGCGCGCCTGATTTGAGAACGAACACAAATATTGTTGATTGCTAAACAACAATACAATAATAAGAATAACAACGACGAAGTACATAACGATTATTTTCTTCTCATGATCGATGAATATTTTATGACACTTTCATATTTATTATACTTTGAAGTAATTCCATTAGAAAAAAATAGATTTTCAATTATTGCACTTATTTGTTTGTCTCTACTAGTTGAGAAATAATGCATATGTAATCGTACATGTTATGCAGATCTTTGATGCTAGGTTGTGTAATATGCTGTGTTAATCAGCTCTTCCATTTGTTTTATAGTATCGAAATAAGTGAAAAAGAAGAACAAATTCCAATATTTCTTGATTATTATATTTATTTAACTATGTTGTAGAGCTTTGGAGTAAAGCTGATCCATTGTTATGTCATAAACGACATAAGAACATCATATGTCTAGAAATGTGACTATTCTTTGTCCTTTCTGATATCATATATCCGTCATATTCATTCTATTCTTCTTACGTCAAGCTCTATCCAGTACTACTGGGATCATTACTCTCTTCCATCCGTTTCTCGTATGTTCAACTACCTGTACATTTTATATATAGATAGCTGTGTTGGTTATTATGTGCATCAGTACAGTCTAAGAATACTTACATCCAGCAAAAGTACTATGGTTCTATTATATATAGTTACACAGTTTTTGCATGTCATGCATTTTACATATGCGAAGTTATTTAAACAGAATCGAGAGAGAGGGAAAAGCGAATATAATCATACGCTTTATATACAAATAAATACGAATTTTTACAATATGATTGACGCACACCAAAGATGCGTATTGAAATATATGTGGCGTTTAATAAGTCTTCACTACAAAGTAGCAATAAATAGATATTTTAGTTTCAGTTACATTTATGTGCTGTATATGGCTCATTTTTAAATCATATCTCTCCCATATTTATCTCATTTATTGTATCATAATGTAGTCATAATTATGTCATTTTTTTATGGGATAAATATCATCTTATTATAGTCATAAAAATATG